ATGTTAGCGGCGTCACGGGGATACTACAGAAGGAACTCCTCCAGAGATCAAGGCAGTACAAGAATGTCCTGGTGGGCATAAATGAGTTCCGAACGTCGAAGGTATTCTTATGAAATCAGACTGATAAAGTCAATGTTATTTAATGACAGTTTTGTTTCATCAACTATTTAGGTTTGCAACAACTGTAAACAGAAGGGACTAGAACAAAAGAAGCTCTCGAATAATAAAAAGTCCCACAGTATATTAGATTGCAAAATCTGCAATATACTGTGGAACAGAGATACAAATACAAGTAAAAACATGCTCGATATCTCTTGGGCCATTTGGAGAGGTGAAGGAAGACCCTCGGTTTTCATTAGAGAAATCGCCGTCGAGAACACGGTTTCCTCCAACAGGGTTTAGATATATACAAGTAAGTGTTTTATTCAAAGTATATATACTAAAAGGGTACGAAATCTAGGTATACAACACTGTATTTGCCTTAAGCCACATCACACAACCTAATTTTTATTCTCAGTACAATTCTTGCATATTAACACACGGTCAGCCCCCTCCCGCTCTGTCTTTTTTCTTTTCCTTTACTTCGTGTGCAATGAGCCTAGTCGATGAAGCAACCACTGTAAAGAATAAGCTGGTTCCACCTGATGTTCTTTTAAGAATATTCAAGTACTTGCCGGTACCAACACTCGCTAATGTGGCACTGGTGTCAAGAAGGTTTAAAGTCTTGGTATACGATGATGAAATTTGGGATGAAAAGTTACGCATTATGCTCAAGAATGACACTGGCGCCCTTTCCAACATACTAGGTAATAGAAACACTCACTCTATCAGTGATATACTGACAGCGTGGTCTACAATAGAGACAAACGGTGCCAAGGAAAATGGTTCGCTTATAGACGTCAAAAATACGATATACATCAACAATAAACCACTTAGTGCATTGATACCAGGCATGTCCACCGATCCTTTCCAGACTCGTGCAAGAGCCAAATCGACTGGACTGTCTAAAGAGCGATTTAAGGAGCTTTATAGGCTACTCATACCCTATTATGTGGATCTAAGAGACCATAACAAGGAATCAAACAAAGTGTTGCATGATTTTGGAAACCAGCCAGAAGTATGTGGACAGATTATCAACTTGCTTGTCGGGTTCGGTCAGTGTCATGTATTAGATGATTGGAAGCAGGTAATGATGACAAAAAAAAGGAACACAAGTATGCTTACAGACATTATAGTTGAATGAAGCTGTTGACGCATTATCACAATATTTCGAAAGTGCAGCACTCCATGAATTTGAAGCAGCCTATGATGCCCATGACGCAGATACCATGAGGACCTTTGCAAATGCATTGATCGCATTGAATGGTGGATCGATCTGTATGCAGACCTATATACAAAAGCACTCATTATTCTATGACAGCCCATATAAACCAGAAGACAATTTTGTGTAATTCCATTTGATCGTACTTACAATTATAAACTAAAGATCAATTTAGGGAATCACCAAATGATTTAGAACCATTCAAGAAACTGATGTTGTACATTACTGACGAACTCAAGCAGCAATCAAGGCTGATTCATGATATATTCCCTGAAAAGATGGACATGTTTTACATGTTTACAGATAGAGTGTTTGAGGATGTGGTAAGGGACACAGTTATAGAAGTATGACAGTTTTCAAACTAGCAACAGGTCGCGGAATTTGTTGCTCATTTACTAGGAAATGCGATACAAGCAAGCACACAAATTTACTTGAAGACCATGTCCGTCGTCCTGAACTCGACAAGAAAAGTCATTGATGTGCTGACAAATGATGAAGATATCCCTCAAAAGATTGAAAAGGAGCGGGGAGTGAACTTATTGTTTAAATTGTTTTTACCATTTTTGGATGATTATCTTTATGAGGAAAGTCAGTTTACGGAAAAAGTCACCAGAAAATACATTGAAGACTGGGTAATTTTTAAAAAGAGGGAGAATAACATAAAGCTGATATTTTTTTTTTTTTTGTATTAGAATAATAGAACATCTAGATTTGTTGACGCTTCTGCGCGACTCACGAATCAGTCACGTGAAACATTCAAGAGAAACTATCTAACTGCGTTCAAGAAAGTGATCACGCTGCCTGTTGACTTTGTTTCCTCAGCAGCTACAACCATCGTATCCCCTTTTCAAAAGTCATCCACCAATAAACGATCCTCTACAACCTCTGCTGAATCTATAACGCCATCCATAAGTTCAAGTATTTCTGAAAACAAGGAAGCAACGATTCAATTAGAGTTTGCAAGACAGGAGTTAGATTCACTTCAGGATTACATATCACTAGAAATAGCATTACAGCTGATTCACATCAATAAAGAATCAGAAAGACGAGTAGAGCAATTTATAGATATTGGATTTCCAGGGCGAATGAAGAGTGATATCCAAAAAACGTTTGAACAAATATTTATTCAATTGTTGAAGATACTCGGTACGACTCACATACAACCTGGATTCGAGAGGTATAACACGATGTTTTTTTTAAAAAAAACAGATACTCATGATTCCTAGTGCCATTGCACGTTTATCTGTGTATAAACCTAATCCTTACAATCTAAGCGAAGATGTTCCACCGTTGACCGAGTTTTTTGAGCTTGTTCATGTGGCGGATGTCATTCAGCAGATGATTCAGTTATATTATGATGAAGAAATTGTAAGTTGTGTACATTTATTATAACTTGTTTATTCATGTGCACATAGACCAAGCATATCGATAAACTGGATTTTATGAATGATGTGAACAAGGAAAAGAAAGCATTCGAAAGGCTGTTGGATGATTGTGTAGCACAAGGCATGGACCGTGGTATTCAAGTGCTCTTATCTCAAGTCGAATTGATCCTTACTCATGAACAAAAGAAAGAAGACTATAACCCGCCACCCAACGTTATGCCTGACTTAAGACCAACAAAGGTAAACAAAAATAATATTATCTAAGCAACTGACACGAGCATGTGAAATCATAAGGCATGCCAAGATACTATCCTGTGTCTAAAAACTAATACATCTACGCTAATGGGAGCAGCAGAAAAAGGGACAATGGACTTGTTCTTTAATGAAATATGCAGGCGATTCTTTGAGTGAGTGTACTAGTTAAAGAAAAGAGAGAGAGAAAATTAACAATTTAAAGAATCCTTTGTAAGCACCTCAAATCTCAAACAGTCAATGAACAAGGAGGATTTAGATACATCAGTGATATGAATGCCTACTATGATTTCATACTCTCACTCCGACAAAAGGAAATTACGACATACTTTTTAGCATTGAAATCCTTAGCAAATCTGTACATTATAGAGTCAGCATCCGATATTAAATCACTTATACACGACTTAGAAAGATATCATGGTTTGATGAGAGTAGAAGATTTATTTGAATTTGCTGCTTGTAGAAGTGATTGGCCAATGATCAAAAGAACTGTTCAAAAAGATATGACAGATTGTTCGATTATGTAATTTATTATTACACCTGGTATCTATGTATTATAATATATAAAAATGTATTGCTCTCCTTCTTGCTTCTCTATTTTGTACCAAAGAAAGCACGGAAGTAATCACCTATTATAAACTAGTTAATAATGATCATAAAAGTATTTAAATAATAAATAGTTACCTAATGCTACCATACAAAGTGTTTGCCACATACCAAGACCGACACGGGGTAAAACACCACGATAGAAGCCCTTGATACCATTGTGTTGGTAAATGTATCTGGTTGTACTGGCAATTGTCATCCTTTCAGGTCTATCAGCTGCCTTGACTTGACTCTGCATTTCAACTCGGATTACTTCAATAGGTTGATTCCAGCAAGATAATGCACCACCCACAATAGATGCAAGGGCTTTGTCAATTGCTGTTGCACGCGTATGAGCATCAGGTGCCTCTCCATAACGCATCTTGATGATCGACTCTTGTGTGAAACGAGTGATACCAAATCGTGATGCCCAGTTGGTACATTGACGAACAGCCACAGCATTCACACCTTTATTGATACCTGCAATACCTTCTTTTTTAAATATATCTGCAGCAATTTTAAATGTTGATTCCTTGGCACCTAAAATACACATGATTTAGCCCTTCCCAATTATCTCCCTAAACCTTAAAAAAACACTTACCGGATTTATGACGTGTCACCTCAACTGTTTTCATAAATGTACAAAATCCCATCGTTGTATATGCTTGCGCAATACCACCGCCCATACCGCCAGCAATACCTCCCTATTGAACATAAATATCAAGGATATCGCGTACTCTATTCACAAACTTACAAGAAACGGAGATGCACCAGCTGATCGTGCAAGGTATTCAAACTCGGAGGCAGTGAACAACAATACTGCACCCTTAGTAGAAGCTTCAATCCAGGCCCAAGGGATGAGACCTTGATAAAATCCAAAGACGCCACCACGACTGTAAATAGTAGACAAGGCTGTCTTTAAGGATTGTCCGCGATTAGCAGCAAGTTGTGTCTTGATGACTTCGAATGGTTGACCCAACGTGGATACTTCGAATAGATTGAGTGCTAAAATAGTATGAAGTGATTGAGTAAACACCGAGAAGGGAGAATCAAATTATATAACTCAGCTTACATGCACCTAAAAGCAAGTTCTTGAATGAAATAGGTTTCTTTTCGACAGGAGCATTAGGGTCAACGGGAGCAGTAACAACAGGAGCCATCTTTATAAAGTATTCAAAAGAAAGTGTGTGTGTGAATATAAGAAATAAAAAAGAAAAGAAAAGGGAAAATAGGGAACTTGGCTGCTTTATTTATAACACCGTGACGGTCTGGCCGCGGTGAACCTTCCTCCTATGGAAGGTGATCCGCCTTGATCCCCAATCCCCAATTTCGAGCCAAAAAAAAATGGTATAATTTATTGATAATAATAGTATGCGTAGGGATAAGGAGAATAGTAACTGTGTCTGCGTCTAAGTGGGTAATAGCAGTAATATAAATCCTCCTCATTAGGGTCATCATTGTCACTATCACTACCATCACTATTATTATACATTCTGCTATTGTAGATCTCATCGGACCAAGAGTGCGAACTGACTCTTTTTCTTAGCTGATTAATTTGGATCTGATTGTTTTGTATTATTTTTCGAAGTTGCTCTTCGCGTAACATATATTCTTGTAATTTTCGATGCCAGAGGTCTCGTTCGCGCTCAAATTCTTCTAGCCTTTGATGTAGCTGAGTCATTTCATCTAATGTATCTTGTTCTTCCAGCAGTGTCTTTTCATGTTCCTGTTCCTGAGCTGGTTTCTGATCAGGAGTAACAACATTTCTGACGGTTAACCGTGGGTATCCAACGATATCGAGTACACTGGAAGGTGATTTTACTTGAAAAGATAGTGGGGAAAAGTGCCTGTCGAGTATAGCTAATGAAGCGGGGTCCATTGCCACTTTTGGGTTATCTTTTTGCTTATTAGACTGCTTTCTTCTCTTTGATTGAAATAGTTTTTTAAGCATAATGAAATAATAACAACAATAATAATAATAAAGAGAGAGAAAAGAAATACCATATTTGAATAAAATAAATAACAAAATGACGTTTTATGCATGTGATGCTTCTGCTGCTCCTTCTACTGTCCTGCTGTCGTATACCCTTTTTTCTTTTTATGCGTGTGAACTATACTTTATGACTTGTCCAGTGGCTGTCTTTTTTTTTTTATCAAAAAGTCTCATCATTCGTGACAACCTTGGCTTTAATCTTGTACCTGTCTTGATTTAATCAAGTATTGGCAGTAATGGGGCATTCGTGTAGCTTATTCTACCCGAAAAGAGGTCATGCATTCTACTTTAGACTTCACTGGATGCTTTAAATCAGTAGTAGCAGTAATAGTAGTAACTCTTTAGGCTCTTGTAAATCATCATGTACAATCAAACACGAACTGCAGATCAAACCTATAAAAGGTGTACAAATGGATCACAAATTTATTGATTGGTGTCGTCCAATGGCAGTCATCCTCTTTGTACATTATATGTACTGGTAGATCTATCTTTTGATAACTCGTTTGAATGACAGTAATCCTATTCTATTTCAATGACCTGGACTAGGATACACTTTTTTTTGCTAAAATAATAGTGCATTAAAATAACGTCCTTTCATTTCGGGAAACCTGTCTATTTATTTCAATAAACAAGCGTATGTAATATGGTATCCAACATTACCAACACTATAGGAAATTTTTGGTCCAAATATACAGTTTTATACAAATTTATCCGTAAATATACAGATTTATACATTATACTTCGAAAGATGTGATCTTGGTTGTTATCAAGCCTTCGATCTTCATCTTTTTGGGAGAGACAGGAAAACATAACAGAAGCAAGAAAGGGAAGATGAGGGTGGGGAACAACCAAGATCACTTACTCGTGTAATGTATTCAACGCTTTATATTCGGTTTTACACAACATGAAAAAAACTCCTTTAAAAAAAGAATTAAATCTAACACTATGACACAGCTCAAGTGTAATAGCTTTAAATTTGCAAAGGTTTTAAGATACCTTATCGGATGCTCCATCTCCCTTTCTTCCCTTCAAATTGTTGTCTGTGTCCTGCAATCTATTTAGGTTATCAATGAATGTTATTATTCCACAATATACCTTTTATTACTAACTATGTCTTATCTATCGTTTTGATTCAACAACTGCTTCTTCAATGACGGTCTGTGAATGTGTGATCCCTAACAAAACAAAAAACCAAAACAAACCAAGCCAAGAAAAATGAATAATTTCTAGTCATCCACTTTTATTCTAACTATTCTATAGCCCTTTTAACCCCTTTCATAATTCAGCTCTACATCTCTACTTAATAAATTGGACAGTCATTACGAGTGCTGCAGCTTAAAAAAAAAATAGGTAACACATGTGATACATTCTTAAAAAAGACTCTTCCCTTTTTTTCGGCAGCTACTTTTTTTTCTTTTTTTCGATTCTCAAAATGGTTTCTTTCTTTGCATGAACAAAAGGAAGGTATCTTCTATTTTTATTTTTATTTTTTGCTTTTTGGCATTGCTAGAGGACTGGACTTGCCCGCAAGGAGACCACGCTGTTCACTAAGCAAGGGACTTTAGAAAGCTTAGGTTTTTCAGCCGTCCAGATTAACTGTTAGAGACTTGCGCACTTCCCAGTGTCGACCGCGCCTTCCACTTGCGGTGACAAGAGTTTACTCTTGTTGTTGCTTTTGCACTGGCTGTCTCTTCAGTTAACATTGTCTCTGGCGTTGAAGATGCCATAGAAGACTGGACTTGCCCGCAAGGAGACCACGCTGTTCACTAAGCAAGGGACTTTAGAAAGCTTAGGTTTTTCAGCCGTCCAGATTAACTGTTAGAGACTTGCGCACTTCCCAGTGTCGACCGCGCCTTCCACTTGCGGTGACAAGAGTTTACTCTTGTTGTTGCTTTTGCACTGGCTGTCTCTTCAGTTGATATTGCTTCTTTTGGATACCTTCTAGCTAGGCTATGTTTAGCTAATTTTTTTTCTTTTTATAGGCTGCTTCCATTTTGTATGAAGAAAGCTACGTTTCAGACGATGATGCTAACTACTTATATAATAAACACTTGCTTTTCCATTTTTTTTTATTCGTTGAAGTTGTTTTTTATATTGATAGTTAGTGTTTCTACTTACTATAATCACATACATCAATGAACTTGTGCTGATATGGAAAATTCTTGCTTCGCCCCAACAGAAAAGGGCCTATTAGAGATTATGTAGTCAAAAAAAGGAGTCTAGTATTCTAAGTTTTTAAAACAATTAAATTTTTATTTTAAACAAAGGTTGTTTTAACTTCGCTTTTTTCAAGCTCTTCAGGGAGAAGCAGGCCATAGCCACTTCCTTTTACTGGCTTTTGTATAGATTTAGAAACAAAGCTTGCCAGACTTTCTCTTTCTTCATGTTCGTCGCTGAGCTCTGCTGAAATCATATAGTCATTGTGCTCTTTCCTCATTTTTTTCAACACATCAACAGAGGAAGCTATTTCTGTCTGAAGTTTATAAGCAAAATTGCCCATGTGTAATATTTGGGCAGAGTGGTGCTCAGTTTCTGGAATATCAGCCACAGCAATTCTTTGTAATATTTGCACATTTAAGGAGACAAATTCAAGAGACCAAAGATTCAACTTCTTTTCTTTGGCATGCATGAAAAATACGCGTAATTCTTGAGCTGTTGTTTTTGTAGCATATTGGTACTTCTTGTAAGCATGTCTTATCATTGAAATAGCACCAAATGCGCCCTTGACATGATCATAGCCAAAGCGACCTTTATCATTCAAGCCATAATGACCTGATGTCTCCAAGAGGCAAATTTCAATATTCTCAAACTTCACCACAGCATCGGCATTGTATGGCTCATCTGTTGAAGACAGAAGCACTTCTCCTGGAATAAACTTCAAACAACTGTGACTACATGCCATTTCGAACAATGGCCAAATCAGCTTATGATTGAATATAACTTCATTGTCGCCAAGAGAAGGGCTCTTATAAAAATTGTACATGTATTCGAAATATCCATGCACGAAGGCAGCTTCTTTGTCACCTTCATCGACTTTGTCAAGATGGCTGTCATCAGTAAGAGCCCTCAAGATCACTCTTTTGCTCCCTGTTGACAATGCTTGTAACATGGCGCTTGAGAACAAGCTACACTTCTTGAAGGGGGATTTGATCACCTGTTGCTTGTTGTCGCCAAACAACTGATACAAGTCTTCTGGATAGTGTGGCTTACAGCTAATGGAATATCCACATTCAATCACATGGGCCTTCTCTAAGCTAAATGTTGAGTTAGTTTTAAACAAAAACAAGAGTGCATATGAGGCAGTTTACCAGTATTCGTGGCCTGAATGCGATTCAAGATATTGCTTCCATGCAGACCAGACGTCTTCTTGATCATTTATTTGCCAGCATATGTCTTCATCTAAATGATCGATCTATCATCGAAATCAACTTGTTAGCTAAAAAGGTGAAAAATATCAACGTCATTTTAAGAAGTGCCTTTCTTTTCTTTTCAGACGCAGCATCTATCACAATATGTGCTTAGTTTCAGTATCTTTTAAGAAAATAAATAGTATACATACGATTGCTAATAATACAATTTCCAATACTGGTATTGTTGGAGTTGTTGATATTTAAGACAATTCTTGATTCTGTATTGTCTACTTGATTGATGCTTCTGTTCTTCGTCTCATGATTCTTTTCCTTGCCTTTGATCTATAACAGTAATGATAAGCGTTCATATAATAGAGACGTTGCTATGCTAATTTACCAATGCGCCAATTTTGGATTTGATAATTCGCGGAAGATTTTCATCAGATTTGATCAAATTGAGATAATCGATGTACATTCTTTCGTGAGCACTCAAAGGCGCCCCTTTCATATCCTCACCAAGCTGATTGCAATAGTCATCAAGTGACCAAAGAGATATATCATTGACTTTAAAATAATTTGGAATACTTAAAAAGGAAGGAGCTTTGTAGTTAGACATCTTACAAATTGAAATATGATTTAGCAAAATAAATGAAAGAAAAGTAAAAGAAAAGCCTAAAAAACGCAAATATACACAAACATGGAAGCTGAAACGACCCGCAATAGGAATTAAGCCCTTTGTTACACTTGCGATCATGAAAAAAGGGGGAACTTTTAATATTCATTTGAGCCTCCTTTTACCTTTATAATGGTTTCACATCTTGCTCCCATACTTCCTACTAAAGGACCAGCAAACTCAACGACCCATATTGCTCACTCTTCTTGCAGTGTCGCCTTCATTGCTGATGCAAGACCTCTTCTTCTCAAGGGAAATGCTACGCGCCCTCCGTTTTTACTAGAGACACCCAGTTTTCGTGTGTCGCGTTCCGTATTTGCTAGAGACATATCATTCTTGTATATAACTTTAGTTTGCTTAATGAAGCCCCTCAATAGTAAAAGTTTATTGTTTATTGACTTGAATGATGAACGTATAATATATTTGAAAGCTCAGCTAATGGTGTAAAAATTAAAATACATCATTTTCAGAAATTATGCGCACATATTACAAGATCAATAACAATCACACTTTAGTTGATTATCAGTCCTTTCTTTATTTTTAAAAAGCAGTGAATTTTGTCTTTTTGAAAGAAGATAAATGTGGTCAACACTTATAATATGTAACTGAAAAGTTGTTAGAGACTTTATTTAAATAGTCTGATCTTAACTTCTTTTTCTTCCTTGGACCAAACAGTCAGATCAAAAGTTGAAAACAGTACCGGTGCTAGCTGGTGGGTAGTTTGGTTCTTACCAAACTTTGCTCCTATCCACATACTCTCTCTTGCTCTCTCTTTTGGCTCTCTCTTGTTCTCTTTTTCTCTTTTCTCTTCTTTCTCCGGGCTGGTTATCGCCAGCCTTACCCATGATGTACTTCGGGTAAGATATTAATAATCTCTTTTATAAGTTTACTCACTTTTCTTGTTTCTCATTTTCTCTTATAAGCTCTCTTCTTTATAGTGCAAATATTTAATATCAATGTAAATAAATGACTTACTAAACATTTCTTTGTATATCTCGTTCTTTTGCTTCTGATGGGCTCTCTTTTATCATTATTTGTTGTCTGATTATCTTTTTTTATCAGTGCGCGAATAATTTGTGAATAAAGTGTACTATATTGAAGTGAAGTAGGTAGACTAATTGCTACTCAAATATAAGTAAGCGTACTGCCAAAAGAACAAAGTCAGTTATATCAAATTAAAGTGTAATTTCAATTATGACGTATATAAATAAAGCATAAGCTATTAAACATAATATCTATTATATTTAATTGCTGTATATAATGTATAAAGTATAATCGCTATAGTAAGGATATAGGCGAAATGTGAACATCATTTTTCTGAGTGTATAATCTATGTAGTTTTATACATATTTTTTTTAATTCGAATTCCTCGCTAAAATTCCCTACAGTGCAAAGAACACTAAATACAGCAGAACGTATGCAATACGACTCGCCTTCATTACAAAAAGAAAGTTGTATTTTTGGCATACAACAAGCAAAAAGACGCTTTTAGAAAGTGGCTACTGAAGAACCCTTTAAAAGATACGATAATTGGGTAAAAGTGTAGATAAGAGTACGGTACGCAAACGTATTAACGGTGGCAGATATTTACCTTGATCATGCGTTGTTCTGGACACTTCTTTAAGGGGTTATGGCTTCTGACTGTTATGAACAGATTGGTTAGACAAGGAAGGTAGGTTTTAAGTGAATAAGAAATGGTCAATGTTAGCTTTTTGATCATTTAACTAAAAAAGAGAGTATTATCTGTTTAATCATTCAGGAACACTTTTGTCATACCAAAAGGAAAAAAGGATTCATGTAACACTTTAAACACTATTTTCATATTTTTATTAAGATACAGAATACAAACAAAAAAAAATATTACAAAACTATCAAAGATATAAAAAATTGAAATGAGGCATGTAATTTTTAAGTAAAAAGAGGAGAAGAGGAGGCGTAAAGAGGAGGGAGGAAAAGAATGTAAAGAGAGAGATAAATAGGTAGTATTTACAAAAGGTATTTGTCGTTTTTTTTTTTTGTGTTCTTTAAAAGAGAGGATCTAATAGATGAGACGCTGAAAAGTCTTGTTTATCTAATTCTGGGCTAGAGGGTGACATAAGTGGATCATAGCATTTAATTCCCATGTTTGTATCGTTATCCAATAACAAGAATGTATCATTGACGGGTGGTAGCATGAAAGAATCATAAACATCGGTAAAACCGAGGATATCTGCCGTTACAGGTGGACTAGGTGTACAGGCTACGCTTGAGCTACTACTGCTTGTATTACATGATTCATCAAATGGAGAGAATCGAGCATCAGCATACATAGCATCATCATAGGAAGGCGAGATCATTGGATCCTGATCAGACTGTCGTGGCAAATGTGTCAAACTCATCTTATTGACCGCTTCTTCGTCCAGCGAGAAGCAATTACTCAAGTCATGACTCTTCTTCTTCTTCTTCTTTTCGACCATTACAGATGACTTGTCAAATGAAGGCGGAGTGCGACTTGACTGTCGGCGAGGTTGAAGTGAAGGCATGAACTTGGTTCGATATACGTCCAAGGCGCGTTGAAGCAAGTTTTTCTTGCCTGCGAGAATACGAGGATTCAGATAAGCCTACAAAAGAGCTGGTCAGATAACCATCCTTCTCCTTCCTTTCTAAAAGATCAACTTACCAATTTCCAGCTCAACTCATTCAACATATTGTCTTGGACCCATCTCTGACGTCCACCGATATACAAATCCGGATCTGCATGAATTGCTCTTGGGAAAGGACAGTTCTGTCGCTTGAATTCTAAGGAAATTTCATCCAATGAAATCGTTTCGATGTTGATCTTAATTCTGTAACGGGTGTGGTTGACAAGATCATCGATTGCAATCGTCTTGGGCTGATGCGAAGGTTTGACGATAGCAGCCTCAAGAGTCTGAGGAGGATGAATGGGAGTAGTCGTCGCTGGTTGACTTTGGTCTTCGTCCTCTTCTCTGTTCTTTCGCTTACGGAGAGTGCCATTGAGCAGCTTTTCTTGACGTGCTACGCGCCGAGATCGCATGCTTGGATATCGATTACGGTATGAATCGACAGCACGCTGAATCAAGCCACGTTTACCTGCAATCTCCTCCTTATTTAACCATGCCAACTTCCAACCCAAATCATTGCATTCTGTTTCATATGCCCATCGGTTGCCTTTGTATGTTTCCTTGGGTAAATTAGCTCGTGGATAAACCTAACAAAAAGGGTTTGAGTATATTGTAAAAAAAATTTTTTTTAAATCTACATACACAATTTTCAGCTTTAAATTTTTCATCGACAGCATCCAAGGCGACATTTTGAATATCTGTTCTGATAGAGTAGCGCTTAAGGGTGCGGTTGTGAGAATAAACAAAAGAGACCCATTCCACACCATTCTTGACTTCTGCGATGGGTTCACTAGGAGTTGTCGTGGTGGTAGTTGAGGTTGTCGCCGTTGACGGAGGCGAGGGTGTTGGCTCCTTGGTTTCATTTGTCTTCGTTTGAAGTGCAGCAGAGACCATAGCAGCAGCTAGAGCATTTGCGATGGCGGAGGCGTGATTAGAAGCTTTGACTTCCTTTGACTTGTCCATCTTTCTACGTTTGACGCGATGAATAGTAGACTCGATCATCATGATTTGTTCAGCCGTCAATGATTCCAGGATCGATTCAGCCTTTGAAGGAGAACTGATGATATCTCCGAGTAAAAGAGTTGTTGGTGATAAGGATGTCATTATAATAAATATGAAATTGGGGGGTAGCAGTTAATAATAGTAAATGTAATAATAATAATCTTTAGGAAGAACGAGATAAACTGAAATCAATGAATGTCAATTATCTCGTTTGCAAAATATAATTGTATCATAAATCAATGTAAAATAAAACGAATTAAATAATATTTAAGGGCGTATGTTAATAGTCGTTAAAGAAGACAAAAGGGGAGTTGTGTACTTCTTTGAAAAAAAATAAAAAGAAAAATTTTTTATGTAAAAAAAGAAAGGATCTCTTTACATTATATTATAATCGTTGAGCTCAATCGGGATTTTAATAAATAAAACGGAATTTGAATCATTTTTAGTAGAATTTTTTTTCAGTGTGTGTAACTAAAAGTAAAGAGTAGAGTCTATTTGAAAAGTGAGCAATCTTTGTTTTACTTTGAGGTTAAATATGGAATCTATGATGACTGACAATTCAATTAACTCTAAAATCGCGGTATTTTAATCTTGATATAGCAAGGATATTCTCTAATTTGTATTTGAAACGAGCACAACTTTGGTGTTCCGATGGTTCCGTGAATGGCCGATAGGAATGAAATTGTAGGACATGAACCAAAAGAACAAATAGAAGATAAAAGAACAATACACAATAAAAGAGGAGAAAATACGCAAATGTTATTATATACATATATTTGCGATATAATACAAGTTTGTATTGTGCCTATTCTGTTCTTTGTTAACAAGATTATAAATATTCAACATTGAATTAGCGCTGATCTCAATTTCCTAAATAAAAGGTTACAAATACACGTTCTTCCATGTGGAATACAACAATGATGTCCGAAATAAGACATTATAAACTATGGGGAAAATTATCATCCGATTTCAAAGAATTTTTATAGCCGCACCAATCTTATGCTGTCCCTAGGGGTTTCCCCGCTTTTTTATTTCAACTCCTAAACATATACCCTATTTAACCGGACAAACAATAGAGGCTAAATAAGGATGACAGGAGTTACAGGTATAGCTCATCACCATGGCTACTGTTGCTATAGAAATCATATTAAATGATATTATATTGGTTGCTAGAGCTATTACAATGACTATCATATAGATGCTTGATCATCTATTTTACATAATACAAGATGAGGGTACTGATGTGGGTGTTTACTTTTCCCTAATTAAATTTTTTTTAAGACAGCACGGACTTTATTCTATTACCGATTTGATGTATTCATGTATGACAAAAACACTTAATAAAAGAACCCTTTAGACCTTACTCTTTTTCTCTTTCTGCTATTGTTGTCTCATGACTTCGTCCACTCTTTTTATTTTTGAGTCAAATTGATCCCTCTCTTTTTTTTCTGCTGAGCAATCCTATGACATATTTTTGAATACTGTGATCGTTTGGATTTTGTGATCACTTGCTGTTGTCACTGACAAATAGTGGCGTGTCTTAGATTATCACTAAACGAACCTGGATATTCAAGGTACGCTTTGATTGATTTTAAAAAAAAAAAGTCTGGACGTCATTAAATTGGCATAGATCAGCATTTTATTGCTTTGTGAAGATAATGCGCAAAGCTTCACGTATATCTATCATGGCTAAAAGCGTATTCACTTGAGAAAACTTTCACTGCTCAAAATAAGCCAACTGTGGAGTATTATAAAATCTTGCTTGTTTTTATTTATTTATAAACACGTATTCCCGGTTTTTACAGTGCCTGAAAATAAAAGAATAAAATACACATTTTGGAAGCTTCAGATTTTATTTAATGTACCAATTGTTCTTCAAGTCTATTCAATCTCTTGACCAGTGGCCTTGTGTTGTAAGGAAATCCACCACCTTCAAGTACGCGTATTGTGTTGGCCAAAATGGCCTGTATGGTATATATATCAGTCTCATCTGTGAGCGCCAACTTGAATGCTTCTATATCTTTTTGAGTGTACACAACATAATGGTAAAAGTAGGATAAGAAACCAGAATCGTTCTCTAGTAGTAGGTCAACCAAGATGTCATGAGAATTTCCACAGCGGTGGATGAAAAATATAAACAGTATATGGGGATTTATATTGATCGGTTCAAAGATAACTTCTGCTGAAGAAGGATGCTCTTGGAAGAGTAAAAGAACTGTATTAAGTAACTGTGTGGTACTGTCGTCATTGGTACAGCATATGTCAAATAGAATAGGCAAGAATTCGGATGAGCTTAGGTGGTAAATCTCTTGCACTTTGTCTGCTAATTGCATAATCATTTCTCCACTCGATAGCTTGGATAGAAGCGATAGAACTATCTGAGCTAGCAATCTGAAGCATTCTCTATCACATGTCATCACTCGATTTACTTCAGTATAAAAGAACTCTGTGTATTCGTATGATCGAAAGCGGGTAATATCTTGGGCAGTAATATGTTGTTGACAGCTTGATATATACTGGATTACATTTGTAAAGAGTGTTGATTCTGCTTTATCTATTTTTTCTTGCGCGCGTAGACAGAGTTCCATGGCCTTCCTTACTATATATATCGAATTCTCGTACCACAGAGTACAGCCTAAGCCAATGAGCCATCCTGTGTCATCTAATGAGTTGTTCTTTACCAAATCAAGTAGGCACACTAATAGTGGGTAATTGGGCTTTTTATAATATCTAAGTTGTGATAGAACAAACGATCGAATTTCCTGAGCAAGCTGCTTAGGGGCACACTGTTGATGCTCACATGAACGTATATGCTTTAGTATCTTGTGCAAAAGATCAAAATCGTCGTCTTCTACTGCCCCTTTATCTTCCTTTATAATGTCCAATATTAGCCCTATACTCTTTTCCGTATGCTTCTGGATGTTCTCAAGTATTTGACAACGATGAGCATAGACTTGGAAACGATTCATGAAAGGAATGGGTTTTAAGATTAAAAAATTTTAGTGGTCTTGTACGAATTCATTTTTTATTAGAATAACTTTAATAGACACTTTTCAAAAAACTATTAAAGAGACTTTAATGTATTCTTTGACTTAGAAAATGATCTATAATCCTGAAAGCTATATTGACTGATTTCGACGTTCCCTGTTCACGACATTCAGATGGAAGAAAATTTAAGGGAGACTATCACGGAAATGAGCGTGTTTCTAAATGTTGTTCCTTGTAAATGGGCAGGAATCTAGATGGCATTGGATGCAACCAGTTCTTGTACAATGACCAGATATCGTCATCATCATGATAATCTGCGTTTGTCAACGTCTGGAGCATTTTTGCTTAGTAAAATACATAATATCAGTTTAGTACTCTTGTAAAAAGAAAAGATATTGTCATTTGGGCAATCTCCAACCTTGAATCCTGATAGGAGACCCAGCGCAATCTCCATGTTGCTGTGCGTCTCGTATGTTGTGAACACAACAAATGGTTTCGACTGGATGTTCATTTTGAACAAGTTCTGGAAGTTCCTTCTCCTTTTTGTAATATACGGTTATTGACGAATAAAAATAATCATATCACTATTTGCAGTAAATACCGCCTGTAATCAGCCTAATGTCGTCCGCTGGCAGGTGTTACTTGCTTGCATTCTTTCTTAATATCCTCCGTATAATGTTTCAATGTGGAGCGAATAGCTGGAAGCTTTCCCTTGTCGTAATCTGCATAAGCTTTTTCAAGGTAAATTGAAGTTGGTTGTTATTTTTGAAGAATGTGTTGTATTCAGCTTTGTCATTGTAAAAAGGTAGTTAAGTCGACAGCTTGCGAATTTCATTCATTATCAAAAAGAAGAGAGGAGTATTATTAAAATAAGACGTGTGTTAGTTTTATAGGGAAGATTGAATGTTGTCAGCATGATTTAATGTGGTCAATTTGATTATTTACCAATGCTATACAAGTAGCTACTGTATTTATTATTATAAATCATTCTTATAAGATGTGATAGAAGAAAGTAAGATGTATGCTTTATTATAAGGTATAGAGTATTATAGCGACTTAAATCAAACGTGTCACATGCGTGCTTCAGGCGAAGATGAAGCTGACGTTCCATCGTTTCAAGAACCCTGATGCTTGCTTTGCTTATCAAGGATTCTGAAACGTCAGTTTTTTTTTTCACTCCTCCACATTCAATCCCTATTATGATATCATTATGGCTAACGTTAAATACCATATCTGATCGTTGCCTCTTTTGTTCAATATACGTAAAAAGACGACAAAGAAAAATACGTTTGAATAAAACGACATTATATCAAGAGAGAGAGAGATAATGAGTATATGTAGAAAAAGAGAGAAGAGTATGTTAGCATTAGAGTACATATCCTAATATTAGTTTTACTTACCACCAAGGTGCATTCTGGGGAGGGTAGCGATAACTACCCAGGAAAGTTTAAACAAAAAAAAAAAGAACGGAGGACAGAGAGAACCCAGGGCGTCAGAAGAGACTATTGGAGAACGTTCCAGATACACGCCAGAGAGCAAAGAGGGCGGGACAAGCGAGTCAGAGCAAGGACCATGAGGACAGACTAGTTTTGATTGGTGAATCTTTGAACACTCAGAGGGACACTTGATAACTGCTGTAAAGAAGCAAAAAAAAAAAAGGACTCAATTAAAATGAGTTTTTATATGTTTTTCTTTTTCAAATAGGGTATCTAGGACAAAGAAATCATGTCAAATAGAAGCAATCTGCTTCGTGACCATTCAAGAATATACATTGCCAAATATGACTACATGTTCTTCTAATTTCATGCAAAAAACGAATAAAGAATTTAAACTTTTACAAAGAGACTAAAGAGGGCTATTTCTAATATTAGGTTAGTTTCAGCTCCAAGACAGCCCACCTGTTAATATTACTGTCAAATGAGATAGTGAGCTATATTCTTTTTGTATTTGTTATTACTCTGACAACATTACAACGGTTTCAATACGACATCTCAATTTGGAAATACAGTATATCCATGGATGTCAAGGCTGGTACTACGAAAATATTCTTGGTAACGGCGAATTTACATTTCATACAACATGGATTTTGTTCTCACCATTGGATGCATTTATTTTCGATCACAGGCGAGTTTACTTTCCGGAAAGACTGTATATCTACGAAGTGAAGTCCTACTCAAGTTGCAAACGGCCGTGTGCAGAGAAAAAAGGGAACAAGAAAAGGGAGAGGGAGTTGGCAATCAGATGCAGCTCAGCAGTTACCTTCTTCATTGCTGGCTTTCCGTGTTAAAGGAAAGTTGAAGTTAAGATGCTGTTGAAGCAGAGCTCTTCCATCGTACTTGCATGTTCAGTTAGTTGGTATAGGCCCTCCTGTTGTGTAGCTTTTTTAAATTCAAAGCAGTTTTTAAATGCTGAATCTGGTAATGTGGCTATTTCAAATTCAATATTTGCGGCTGCCTCAGAATCAAAAATGGCCAAGAGGCGCATTCTTTTTCAAAATCCAAAGAATACAGTTGAAAATTCTCTGCTTGATCTTGTGCATTCTTGAAAGGTTTCGCAAGGCGTTTGTCAGGAATGACAGAGGGAGATATATGAACTTTACCCAACTCGCAGCGCTTCCATCTCTTCTGCCATAGCCTTCACATAGCTTTTGCAACATGACTTCCTTTGTGTCGTATTTGACCATGTCTAGCACTAATCTTTACGTGTAAGATTGTATTTGACTTAATTACATGTACCTTAATTAGTACTCTGACCTCTTTTAAGATAATCTAATTTCTTTTTGCTATAAAATCATCCTCTCATTTCTAATAAAAGAATAAAACAGAGACTCATCACTTCTTTGCTTTTATTCTTACACATTTACACGAGTACTAATAGTAATAGCAAAATTACTACCAATACCTCACTTCATATTATCCGATAGAGATAAAAAAATAAATATCATCAAAGCTTCCGATAAGATGATTATACTTATTATGGAGCTTAGTGGTAACCTGATTAGGTTTTATGAAATAGCAGGTGACAGTAACATAACATCTGCAATTGATCTTCTTGCTCGGTTTCTGAATTGACCAGCTTTTAGATGATTCATCTTCTGTATGTATACCAGCACGGCTCTTATAGGCTCCAAATCAATGGCATATGTACTTAACCCTTCAAATGATGTTACACGCTTCGGCATAGGTTGGCCTTCTTTGTTTAAAGTAGACATATCACCGCTTGTCTTATCCCTATACATTCAGCATACTGCATGATGGACAGGGGAGCTATCAATAATATTCTTCCAAGGGCTAATATCAACAGTAATTTCTCTAGGAAAGTGCGGGCATTATTCTAAAACTAAGCTCTCAGCCATAATCACTTTGATGAAAAAGTACTACTTCAAGAATTTAAGTTCAGAAAAGGGGCAATACCAACAAGGCGCTTACGTCATTGGTCAGTTGCGCAGGGTGTGCTTACGGTGCGCTTAAAGAACAGTCGGAATTTTCCCACCAAATGAAAAAGATTTTTTTTTGTTCTTGGTCTCCTTTAGGCTATTTTTTTCTTTTTGCTTTTTTCAAACAAACGGTTCTTATTGGGAGATAGTATTGTCCTATCATATCCATTCTAACTTTTTGACAGGTTCCGCGCGCATAATATGATGAATACTCAACCAGCACAAGGTGGAAATATTATTTACAGAGGTACAAATGGCGAAGTCATCATAACCCAAACCCAACCACCACCGCAACCCCAACCACCAGTGGTGGAAGAAGAGCCCTTATATGTAAATGCTAAACAGTATCACCGTATTCTTAAACGACGTGCTGCTAGATTAAAACTTGAAGAGATGCACAAATTGGAAAGAACAAGAAAACCATATCTTCACGAAAGTAGACACAAGCATGCTATGCGTCGTCCAAGAGGTCCTGGTGGCAGGTTCCTAAGTAAGTCTCTTATGAAAGGGGGAAAAATAAAAGTATAAGTTATATTAATATAATATATAGCTGCTGCTGAAATTGCTGAATTACAAAAAGCCGGAAAATTACCTACAAACAACAGCAACAACAGCAACAGCAATAACAGCAACAATACGAATGAAAGCAACAACAACAGCAATAACAACTATCATCAAGTCAACGGTAACCATAGCAGCGCAAATGGAAACACCATTTCAACAGAAGATATGAAAAACCAAAACCCATCATCAAGTTTAACCAACGAATTCCATCAATAAGAATAAATTCTATTTTTTTTTCTTTATTTTATTCATAAATAAAGTCATGGTATCTTATCATTTCCTTGGACGCTCATCAGAATCAAAATTTAATAAAGGCTTTACATGCCGGCCATGTAATTCTCTTGAATGGTGCTTTTCTGGTGTATCATCCAATTGAAGCAACGTATTATTTGATGGCAAAGGTACAGCATCATGTAATTTCTTTGTCGTTGGCTTTCTTCGTAGCGACATGTGTCTACGATGGTTGTTTTCAGTGGCATGCTCAGATGAAGTCAATTCTCTGACGCTCTTTGATCTCATCATCTTTGTAGGCGTCGTGTTAGTTTCCTTTTCCTTTTGGTCAAGTAAAGATCCCTTGGCAAACTTGACTCGATCGTCGATCTGAATCAGTGTGTTATTCTCCTCTGCTTGAGCCTGTTGTGACGATTGTTGTTGTGGTTGAGTTTGTTGTTGTTGCTGCTGCTGCTGCTGTTGTTGTTGTTGTTGCTGTCTAAGTGGCAACTGTTCTGCCTCTTCCTCTTTGGCGAGGAGTGAACCCTTGGCAAACGTAGGAGGATCAGAGCAGTCAATGAGTGGACCCTCCTTATTTTTCTTTGTCGTTGGATTTCGACTCAAACCTCTGGGGCTTGATGTCTCCTTGTCCTCAAGTCGACGAGTGGATTCGCTACGAGACATGGTGGGTATTGCCTTGGTTGATTTCTGTCTGCGTAAAGTGTTGATACAATCGTCTGTCGTCTTCTTTTCTTCATGAACGATAGGAGCCAAAGGATTAACTACCCGGTTCGGATGATATTGATAATGAATAGTATTCTATAATATCTGTTATTATAAACTAATTTGTCTTGTCTGTGGTTTACCTTGGCACATCTTATACTCAATACCCACTTCTTCATCTCTTCTTGATCTTCGGTAGCGACGAATCGAATATAATCATCTTCTTTTTCAAAGATACTGGCTCTGTCCTGTGCTCGAATAGCAAACACATATGGTGTAGGACTGATCTTTAATGGCTGCAGTAAAGTGTAAACGTCATAAGAAGCGAGGTGACACAAGATAGAAGAAGAAGCTCCCTTTGAAAGCGAATTAGCATCTGATATTTTGCCCATCAAAAGATTGTGTATACCTTATCTTTAGCATGATGTATAGCATTATCTTTGATAAAACAGAATCTCTTTTGCCACTTTCCTTTCTTATACTCTATGGATAGCCAACCATACATGGGCGAGATCATTTTCTGAAAGATGGTCTATGGAAAGAGAGTATTTAAACACTCATCTACCTCTTTCTTTAAGATTTCATTACCTCAGATGTTAATGTATAGTGATATGAGTATCTCTTGACGAGAAGAGCATTATTACTATCAGGCTCCCAAGCACTGATGATGTCTAGCACTATTTCCCATTCTCTAATAGGGCGTTCTATCATACTATATGGTTATTTTTCTTGTTAATACATACACCTCAGTTCGCATTACCAACACGGTGACTGTTTGCAATTTCAAAAATGGTCCAGTCGTTGGCGTGATCGATCAAACCCTTCTTCTTCAAATACTGTATCACCATAGCCGATGTCAACAAGTTGGTAAGCTGTACGACTTTATGAGTACTTGCATCATCAATGTATATTCTTGTCGTCAATGCTTTTACAGTCTGAATTCGTCCAGCATTACTGTTCATCTCTGAAGTTGACGGTGAAGTGACCTGTAGTGTGTGTCTAAAAGGTTATAAAAACAAATTTGGTTTCCTTAGTTACCCTTATTACCTCAGATCGATGAGAGTGATTTTCAGTGTGAAAAGGATTCTGCTGTGCTTGACCATCCAACACAGCCCATACTCTCTGTATGGACGATTTGAGCTCGTCATCGTCCTTTTGAGCATTAAAGTTATCCGGTATAGGAGGTACTGGAGGGATTGCATTTGGATCGTCATGGACAAACGCCTTCTTCATATTGGTATTGCTCGTACTTCTAACTAAACCTCTTACTGACTTTGAATGGCTCAACATCACCTTTTCTCCCGGTTGACGACGAATGATGGCTGTAGCTGAACGTTGAAGCATGCTTCCAATAGTAACGTTATCATCACGAGAATCATCGTCATCGTCTAGATCGTATTTATATTTGCCGTTCCTTATAGGTTTCCTTTCTTTAAAAGATATATAAGTAAAAAAAAATCATCATAGTATCAAGCGTTTTTTTCTCTTTTGATTCTTTCTTTACCAAGATTGGAATCTGTCAATGTTTGACTATTGTTCATATTCTACATACAATACAAAAAAAAAAAAAAATGAATGAAAAAAAGACATGGAGTTTTTCTTTTATTTACCAGTGTAAAATCATGCACTTGCTTCTCTAAGTCACGGAGCATATGGTCTATTTGGTTTGTCATTCGTAAAGAAAAAAAAAGAAAGAAAGTCGAAAGAAAGGCAAAGAAGGGAAGAAAGAGAAGAAAAGAAAAATATATAAAAAAGGAGAAGGGAACAGAAAGAGATGAAATGCTGCTATGCCTAAATATTTCGTGTGACATTGTTCTTTTTTAATTTTTTCTCTATTTTTTCTATTTTTAGGTGACTCCGACTTTCTTTGTTTCCAGGGCAGCCATCTTTTTAATTCAATGAGCACGCGTATATATGTGTGTGTAGTTAGTCTATTAAAGCCTTGAGGAAAGTTTATTTTAACTATGCGCCTGTAGCTTTAAAAAAGGCGACTGTATAATATACATGCTATATGTAGGTTATTCTTTCAATTAAGGTTCTCGTTACTGCATTATGCTTAGCTCTTGTGAGGTACAAACAATAGCCGATTTAAATTGAATCAGGGTGTGTGTATGTGCACGTTGCTTTGAGGATAAACTTCATAGCGCGATGAGACGCTTTTTGAACTTGAAAGATACGATGAGCCACCATGACTGGACAACTTTTGCTATGTTTACTACAACTAAGCTTGGTATATGTAGCTAAGCTGCTTGAGGACAAAGAGAGACATAGATCTTGGTACAACCTTACTTTGCTATGTGTCCCTTTATTTTCACCTCAGGTTATCTTGTCTCTCTTTAACTTGTCTACTGGTTATTTTATCTATATGGTCACTGTTACAGGATACCAGGCTATCTATATACTTTCTTTTATTTGGAGAAAGAGATAGAATGAATAGAACAAACAGACACCGAGAATTCTTGACCCAAGTGCTTGTAGTATATTATTTTATTAAAGCCTCCATTATTACATGGAAGATGCTTGTTTGACGACATTAACTATTTGAAAAGAATGTATCCTAAACTGAAGTTGGTGATCAATTAAATAAATGTATTTGACATTTAACACAAGTATCCTTCTCTACTGCCAAGGGTTTGCTCAGCATTTAGATCATTATTTATCTTGTACTTCTAGAGAAATTCTGTACTTTCTTACTACATTTCTTACATATTGCACAAAGGGGTCTTTTTTTAAGCTAACAATAGCTTGTAGTATTCATACATAATTAGACAAAGTATAACATTTGGCATAAAGCGAGGTGTGGTTATAAATATGTTTCTGTGGGCTGATCTTAATATGATACTCCCTTATTTCACATTTCTGCTTCTTTTCCCCTTTTTTTAATTTTGCCTAATTTAATTGACTGGTCTTGGCGTATTGCCTGCAAAGTAAATTTGACATTTCACTCTTACTTTATTTGTTAAACAATGTAAAATAAGATACTAAAATAACCCTTTTGCCTACAGTCTCCAATATTACACTGCTGTTTTTCATACAGTTGAAACAAGATGCGTCATTTTTTCTATTGCCATAGCTTATTCATTTTGTTTAAAATAAAGAGAAACAACATACTATATTAAGCTTACCGGCACATTCATCTTTTTGAAGACATTATTCGCTTGAGCGTTATTATTATTATTATTGTTGTTGTCTTGGGTATTTTGATAAATTTGTAATGGGTTTTCCAAGTCTAGGATCGTTGCAGGATCCAATGACGGTGTATCTTGTTGAACGGTCGTCTCTGTCTTTCTTTCCACCACACTCACTGGATTCACCGGTTTACTCTTTTCGAGTTTGAGTTCATCCAACAGGTTCTGACATTCTTCCATACGCGTCTTTACAGTATGCGGTTTACGCAACTGACCAAGTGTCGGCTCTGTCTGTTTCTCTAGTTGCTCGAATTTTTGTTTGGCTGCCTCTATTTTTCGTTGTATAGCTCGTGCTTCTTCAGCAATGGACTTTATTTCATACTTGATTCTAGGCATGGATTTTATGACAGAGTTGGAAAGTTGATCGAATTGACGAGAAGTACTTTCACCAGTCATTTGAAGCTTTGTCACAAGCATTGATGTCATTTCCTTTATTTCATCTTCTGTTTTCTCTAAAGGTTTTGTATTTGATGGTTTCAAGACTGAATTAATCCATACTTTTGCATCAAATTCAGAATTAGAGAAATCTGTCACGTCGATGGAGAGTTGTGAAGTCATTGCTTAAAACAATAAAATAAATATAATCTTCTCTGTGTGGTTATTTCTCAAGACAATTCCACACTCAGAGCATATATAAGTTTTGCTACAGTTAAACAGGGACATTTTTTGGCTTTCACAGTTTGATCTATCTTTTATTAAAGATTATGCTCTGTTCTAAATATATCCCATGCTTGATTTAGTGTAGTAAATATGCCACTGGCAAGTAAACGTTGTTCAACCGTTGCATTGGCAGGGAGCTATCATCGTATTAGTGTTTGTCTCTCTCTTTCTCTCTTTTTGTCTTTCTTATACCTTATCTGGATGAACTTTTGCAATAGCCTTCATATAGGTTACTTTACACTTTTTAGGCTCTAATAGTTCACCCACTGTCACTCCTTTCCACTGAATATCTGACCACAATATAAGCTCTAATGAAGCCAACAGACTTCTCAGATTCTGTTCCTTCCCATTTTTCCAAGCAATAAGTTGTGCATTCACTTTGTCTTCTTTTGCCAGCCGTTCTGCTTCTTCTGCTTCTCTCTTCTTTTCTCTTTCTCTCATCTCTCGTACTGCCTTACTTGCGTTAATTTCATCCATATTGGCCTGTGGTTGAGGTTGTTTTGGCATAAACATAGTAAAGTCAATATCAGGGAATGCCGTCGATGACTCCTTTGAAGGTTTCCATATGGGGCTATGCGTACCATCATTTTGCGTTTTACCCTCCTTTTTCGCTTGTATCGCGTCTTGACATCTTTGAATACCCTGGTTGACAATCGCGGTACGAGGAACGCCACTGATGCGTGCATATTCCTCGTAGACATGAATGGCAGCATCATAAAGTCCTAAGCCTTCCAATGCACACGCTTTTCTATGTAGTGCTTTTAGCCATTGTGATTTCCAAGAGCTGACACCATCTATCAGAACAGCATTCGTCGCTACATTCTTGCTTGCTAACTGAATGGCTGTGGAGCAGTCATCGAGACAGGCTTGATACTTTCCAAGCTTTAATCGTGTCGCTGCTCGATTGTTACTCAAAAGAACAATGGCACTATGATGAGCGGGCAAAGAGGCAATGGCTAGTGAATAGGATGATTCAGCTTCAATAAAAAGACCCTTATTGAAATAGTAGTTTCCTTCTTTTCTTTGTTTCTCAGCATAACTCGTATCCACTGTCTGACTATTTCTCTTTAATTCGTTCAAATATTCTTTTCGACGTCTTTCTTGTTCCTGTTTCCATGCCTCTTCGCTCGATATACCTATGTCTTCTTCCTCAGATGATACAGCTCCTGGATCAAGTGGTACCTGTTGATCACTTGTTGTTGTGCTTTGAACAAGTATATCCAATACATCTTGTAGGCTCGCATTGGTTGAACATGTAGCAAGTGCTGCTTTACAAGCGTCCAGAGCGAACCCCATTTCTACCAGTTGGGCTAATATCAGATCTTTATGTGTTGATGGTTCCTGTACAGTCATTAAAAAAATGAGAGAATGAAAAAAAAAAAAAAAGGTTATGCATAAAAAGGAATGATCGACTTACAGCGGAATTTGTAAAATTGTTTCCTGAATGTGTGGGTGTCTGCTGTGTGCTTCCATTCATTCTTTCCTTGTTTGAAAATGACTAAAGGATACAAGGTTAGTTTAAATAAGCTCTTCGTGTGCGTATGTGTGTGTGTATTGATTTACTGTCGCTCTGGGCCTTGTGTTAAAATTAGTATCTCTATAATATATATTAGACATTGAATACAATAAAAGCTTATAGATACATTACGCTTTAGGGGAATAGGATGGTGTATTATTATTACTATGGTATTTTGTTGAAGGAGGATCAAAACTGGTGTTGCTATATTGACTGCTTGGAGAAGGACTGTATGTGTACTGATGCCTTGGCCGAGGAGAAGTGAATCTGGGACGAGGATTGAGCTCATCTCTTATGTACATGTTGGTGGGCGTTGTAAATATAGGTATCGCGTCATCGCTTTCCTCAGGGGAAGCATAATGTCGCTTGCATTCTGTAGAAACATATTCTGCTTTTGTTGAACGAGGTGGTTTCTTTGGTACACTTGCTGAACTTTTATTATCTGGTGTGCTATAACCTGAACTTTGGCTCATAAAGAAAATAAAGAGAAAAATAAAATAAAGAAATAAAGAGAGAGCAAAGGGCTGAAAGATACAATCAGAAAGGGCGACGGAGTTTCACAATGTCTCGCCAAGAGCAACAAGTTGATACAGTGTGACTATTGAATTACTAAAAGTTAGATCAAAGGGCAGTAATAGAAATAACCCCCTTTCAGGGTTCAAATGTGACAATAAATTGCATATATGCTTTTTATTAAATGCTAATTCTATTAGATATACTACACATAAATAGTTTAGATGAGATGTGATATACAAAAATGATGTCAGTCAATAACTTGAATTCTTCCATGGAATTCATTAGCCAACCACTCTCTTGCTTGGGAACTCACTCCTTCATGAAGATGTTGCAGGCATAGTAATTCTAATTCCTGAAGATCTCGCTTCCAATTAACAAGACAAGTTGAACCACACAAGGATTCAAGTCGTATCCAGTTATGAAATCCGATATCCCACACCTTTAATTTACGTAAACCTTGTGAGATAATCGTTATCGCTCTGGGACCTTCTGTTGCATTAAAGCATGCAGCTGTTCGTAACTGCTGTAGGCGGGGTAGGGTAGACACGAGTAAATGGGCTAGTGAGATATTTGGCCAGTTGACAGCAAAGGATATGTTTAAACTAGTCAGTTTGCAAGAAAGAGGTGTAAATAATGAAAAACTTTTCGTATTGAGTAAAGAATGGGCAGTGGTAACTTTGATGTGATGTTGAGATATGAGTAAATCAGTAATCACTGTCTCCAGGTAACTCGATCGCTCATCTTTTGTATCCAAGTCTTCAGACGTACAATCATCCACGCTAGCATCAGGCGGAGAGTAAACATAGTAATCTACACTCTCTTCTTCTACTCCTTCTTCTTCAGTGTCATATTCCCACCATTCTTCTACTTCTTCTACAACCCTCTGCCTATGTTCCTCTACTCTCCAATACGCCTTACAAAGCTTGGCAAATGATACTCGAGCATCTTCAAGACAAAGATCAGTATAGTCAAAGGAAATAAAAGAGTCAAACAAAATGGAATCCAATCCGTCTATTGAACTAATATGCTGAAGTAATGTCTGTTTGACAGCTACAGGTAGATATGGAATCAACTCGCTCCAGCCATTTCTTTTGGTTGTCATGCATCTTGCAGCTTGACAAGCACATTGGTTGAGTAAACTACTATCACCCACTGCTACAATCTTTTTTCGATTTTCCTTCAGGCTCTTTACTGATTCCATTTGTTCTCGCTGCACCTCTCTTGCGTTCGTTCTCCATGACGGTGGTGGAGGAGGACCAGCTGTGAGGGGTAAACGTACATTGTTGTTGTTGTCTTGTTGATTAGTTTCGGACTGATACCTTACAACGCCAGAAACGAGGCTGCTGTCTGATTGGGGATCGTTGCGACTGCGCCTCTGTCTATTTTGCTCTGCTCGCTGCTGTTCAATTCGTAACCGTCTAATCTTGTCAGTGACTGATTCCGCAGTTGAAGTAGACGATGGTCTGTATGTATCTTTATTAAACGACGAGTTTTCATAGGATTTTAGTTTTGCTTTCCATTGTCGACCTTTTGTCATTTGCAAAAAGACTTTGGCAAAATGAAAAAGAAAGAAAGCGAAGTAAACTGAGTTTAAATAGTCAAGCATTGACAGCTCGTCTCATTTGTTCGTCCCATCCACACGCTTGAGCTTGGTTCAATTCAATGCACAACACACAAGTCGAACGATTATATAAAAACCTCTCTTTTGTAAAAGTACTAAAGTAGATGTAAAAATCAATCCTGGTTTTTATATTTAGTAAAGTGACATCTATGTATATGTGTGTGTAAAAATGAAATTATCGAATAAACTTGAAGTAAACCCAGGCAGCGAGTAAAGCCAAGGGAATGAGGATACGAAGAGGACTAGGAATGCATGTTAAAAAGAGTGTAAAGATAGATTGTACGATGACTTACTTTCCCTGAGCACCAGAAGTAGCGAATTGTTCAGCTTGTTTGGCTACCTTGATAGGCTTGGACTATACGTAATATTAATATGTTTTCTGTATTTATGAAATGAACTTACAGCAGGGTCGACATCACCAATATAGTATTTCTTCAAGATGTCACGAGCATCTTCAGAATGACCAACATCTTCAAAGGGTCCAGTAGCATCCTTTGCACCTTCGTCAATCAAAACCTCTTCACCACCGGGATGCTATAACGAGATGAATAAATGACACTTTCTAATAGTTTACTTACTCACCTCATCTTGGAACTTTGTGATGTCATAAACTTTACCATCAATGATCATCCAGAGATCATTTCTGTTGTTGTGTTTGGCAACTTCTTCATAAGAGTAAAGTTTGACAGACATGTGAACTAATTAGTACAAGAAAAAAAGGAAAGAAAGAAAAAAAATTGACGCCATTAAAAAATAATTTTTATTTTTATGTGAAAGGGGGAACAAACAGAAGGAAGATCGCTGTGATTTATTCCGCTGTCTTTTCAAAGCCTGCATGATTCATTACTTTTTTTAAGGATTATATGCATACATGTATGTATATATATTTATGGTCAATATTCCATGCTATGGAGCTTCTTTGGGACGGTACCTATGTTGTCACTTTACAACTTCACACTACCAAAGTCTAACCTAAGACTGTCCAGCTCACTCTCTCTGATATAAAATTCGATGTCATCCTAATTACATGTGTTCTTGCACCTTTGTTGATCAAACTGACAGCATAAAAGTAGAATAAAGCAATAACAACATTTCTTTTTTATCTTTCTTCTTCTTGAAAAGAGACAATTCAAGATGGTAACTTCATAAACTCATGTTTAGTTTGACGCTACACATTGAAAAGCTTCGTTGGGCGGCATCATAGGTAATGGGTAGAAGTAGCGCTGTAGAATTAGTCTAACTTTTGGCGTATTTTTGAGTGCAACAAGTGTTTGTCTACTGTATTCACTTGCTATTTAAATAAGCCATTGTTCAAAAAGATGAAACTAAACCACCAAAAACAAATAAAAAAAGAAAATTAAAAAACTCGCGAAGTTCATCCATTCAAACCACTACACTTAGCTCCAGCAGTAGCAATACAGTAAAAGGCTTAGCTTCCTCCAATTATGAAGCTTTAACTTTGGCTTTTAACGAGATGCATGAAAAAAGGAAATGGAAACTTGCAGACAACATTTATGCAGAAGATATCCTTTGGATACGCAAAACTATCAAGAAAAGTAATAATCGTTATATTTTAATCGAAGCGACTACGAACTTAATCAGTGTTAAGGGCACCAAGTTAAAAGATAGATATGGAGAGTGTTGGAACTAAATCACAAGTGAGAATAAAAAAAGCACTACTAGCACTTCTGGAAAAGATTGCTTATTTGGTAAGAGAATCATTTTGCTTCTGTCACAGCTTCTAAAAAAAAACTTGGAAAACATATGAAGAAATTGACTCCTATGTTTCTACGAAAACAGTTATATTTACTGAAAAAGTAGTGAATGATTATAACTCTGACTTTGATGATAATAGCAAAATATACCCTCCTCATTCATTGCAGTCGCCCACAAACGACCAATATATTACATGCTGTAATAAAATAAAAAATGTTTGTAATGGTTAAAAAGTGTAATTAAAGACAGTACTTTATACTTAGTTTCTTCAAGTATAAAGATATCACATTATACTTGGATACTAACAAGATTAGCCACGAGAAGGTGAAAGCATATCTAATACTAAAAATATTATTTATAATAACTAGAAGGCTAATGAATAAAAAATAGCGTATTGTTCATTTTATACTTACCGAGGCGTTAAGGACTACACTGCCATTATAGGCAGCGCATTAAATCCAGGGAACATCGTTAGTCTTTTGAAGAGGGGGAGGGCTTTCATTGCCGTGTTTTGACTTGTAAGCAAAGATACCATATATGTTTAATGCACTGTTCACATCGCGATTCCAAACCGCACCACAAGATTCACACTTGAGGACAGAGTGTACTCTTCGCTTTGATCCAGCGATGGAGATATTATTTAATTGATTCGTTTTGCACTTGTTACAGATCTGACTCGTTAAGTACTCGTCAACATAAGCAAATTTGGCTTCCCCATTAGATTGTTTGCATTTTCGTTTGATTTCTTCAGTAATACGTCTAGTAGGTGCAGCTCGTTTTCCTTTCATACTTGAACTAAAAGAGCCATTTCCGAACGCAATGATCCGCTTCCGTTGAGAGGAGTAAGGGAGATCAGTAGGAGGTAGAGGTACATGTTTGATTTTGTTTGGGTTTTGGTTTTTAGCGCCAACTGTGCTTGATTTGTCATATTTCTTGCTGTTGTCAAAGAGTCTTTTAACAATTTCTTGAGTTCCTTTTTGCTTGTTGATATAAATCTTGAACTTTAACTTTTGAGGTTTGTTCCATACACAGCGTTGTTAAAATACGTACCATATAAGAGAGCGGCATACCATTTGCCTTGACAATAGTAGTCATGGATTCTTTGATAGTTGTGTAGACGTGTAGAGGCAGCTAGTAAAAATGAGGTTAAATTCGCAGTTTTTAAAGTAGGTAATTCACTAATATACTTAAATTCGTCTAAATGATATTCTTGGTGCTCTTTTCGTCTTCTTGTAGCAAGATTGTAGCCATATAAATAATAGTATTCTTCCAAGCTTGTAGTTCGGATACGTTCATGTTCTGTAGAGTCAACTACAGTAAAGATAGTTGATATACCAGGATCAACATCCCAAATTTCTGCATCGTCAACTATATCAGCAAAATCCTTGGGCGTCTTTGGTTCTCTTCTAGTTTCATCTTGAACAACAGCAGTTTTCTTAAACATAAAGGATACAGCATAGCCATCAGTAGTGATCACATTTCTACAATGTCAGTGTTTTTTTAGCCCAAAAATAAAAGCCATGTAAGCATACGTGCACAAACTTCTTTGGACGTGAGATCAAGCTTTCAAATGCCTTGTAGCCTACTTTTGAAAAATCCGAGACATTAAAGTACCATAAAGTTAAGTCATTATCATTCTTTTGACCTGGCTTGATCTTGTTGTCACATTGTTTGACAAGCTTCCAGAAAGATTGGCATCAATCTGTATACTCTTGAAATCAATCTTATACAGGGCCTCACCAATTATGTATATCAATGTTTCTTTCTTTAAAAGCTTCTCTCTTTTGAGTTTACTCTTGAATACTGACCAAAATTGTTCAATAGGATTGAGC